GCGAGCACGCCGGTACCGAGACTCTCTTAACCCCGCGGGTTAACGACGGCTTAAATTCGACTCTAACGCCCAAAAGTATCTTCTGGTGGGATACTCGAGATTCGCTTTACGGTTTTGCGAAGAAAGCGCCTTTTCCCTTTGGAGAAATCGACGCGTAACCGTTCCCCGGAGCCCGTTGCAAAATGGAACCACATCGCACAAACGCTGGACCCTTCATGTCGTTATCTTATTTACACTCCAAGTTCTCTAACAGGATTGGGACCGACGTCTTCAAAATTCTGATGCCCATAGGACTCGTTCTTTATACAAGTACGCGTGGGGTGCATAGCTATGAGATAACCTGCTCCCTGTTCATAGTCGCGATGGCGAAGAGCCTTCGTCTCCCATCTCGATAGAATAGCGAGGGTAAAATGTTAAAACTTTGAAAGCATCGAAGGTTAAAGTAATATTGACTCGTGTACGGGCAACGTGAAATATCTACTACACAGTTGATAAAATTTAAAATAAAATTATCCTGTAAAATAAATAGTTAGCTTTTTTCTCTACAAGACTCTATATAATAATATTTAATTATATAAAAACAAGCATGCAATATTTTCAGATGACTTATGTAATTTTCATATAAAAAAATGCTTGTTTAAAAACTAAGTTGATAAATAAAAATTAAAAATAGTGAAAACGAAATGTTATTTTCGCGCTCAATAATAGATAATGCAACGGTAGTTTCGATTCGATAGACGCGATAGCGAGCGCGAGTTTCGATATAAAGTCGATTCACGGCGGCGAGCACGTAAATCATCAGTCCGGTGGCTGTTCCGTCGACAATTTGGCGGTAGGATTGTTTTCGGAATACGGTAGCAGGGGATGCTATCGGGACCACACGAGACGTCAGGTAGATCTCGCGCAGCTGCCTCGATAAGCCGTTTCTCCGCCGATGTCCCCATAAATTTTTCCGGTCGATAATGGGAGCACATAAGTTAAATGATTTAACGGTCCACGACATATTTATCGGAAAATCGACGGTGTAATTTCGGGCAAGGATTTATGTGTCTTGGGCGCTTCGAATGAGGCTGAGAAAATATTTGCGGCCTATCATGATGAAAACCCCCCGTGGCCAACATTTTGCATGGGCAGTTATTCTATGCGCGGCAGAGAGTAGATAACAAAATTTTAAGGATACGTCGCACAACTAGATATTATCCAATGTTACTCAAAAATTCAGATTATATTATCTTCTCTCTTGTTCACTGTTCTGAGTGTGCGTTGTCTCTTTATATTCCGAAGAGATTTCACAGCGCATACTAAAATACATCCTCGCGGAAATAACTCGTTACTAAAACGTGATACGCATAATTACGAATAAATTCGACCGCATTGGGACATACAAATCGCGTTATAGCGGACCGTCGAAACAATAAGCGTCCATTACGAATTGCTCCTGGTACTCGTGGCGGAACGAACAGCAAATTGAAAATGATCGCTGGAGGGACCCGTCGAAATCCAAGTTTGACTCGTCGAGTCATCAATGTTCCCATCGATTTCTAGTGTCACTTCCCGTTAACGAGACACCACTTATGCTTCTAACAGCCATCTAAAACCGCCGCGCATCAAAAATTCAAAGTCCGAACTATTTAATCGACTTTCTTATCCAAGATACGTTTAAATCGTTCCGCAAAAGAAGGGTCTTTTTTTTTATTTTTGAAAAATTAATTCCGTCCGGTTTGCGCGGTCACGAAAGTCGTCCGTTAGCTATCCCAGTAGTCCTGAGTCATTGTACGCTTCCGTGATACCCACAAAGGCAAAGTTTCACCGAGACGAGACTTTAATTAATTGAAGCGATCCCGCACACTTTACCAGCTCGCCGGCGAGAAATCTCTCTCGCCGCGGCCCCGGTCTGGCTAACAACTTGGCCAGTTGTTAGTTGCGGTCGGAGGTGGATTCGGTGTGTTGGGCTGACCACTTTTTTCTTTTCTACTTACTGTCTTTCACTCCTCCCCTCCCCCCCTCCGTCGCACTTTCGGTCCATATATTATCTTTCTCTCTCTCTATCGTTTCTCCACGACACACTTTACTTTACTCCCCATTTCCTCAAGATTAAATAGATCGTTTGACTGTTTATTTCATTGCTACAAATTAGTCTTTTAATTGAAACGAATTGTAATTGAATTTTGTACTCGAATCGTTATAATTGTTTTCATTCTTTATGACTTAGCAGTACCTTTGACACTGTTGGGAATGTGTTAAAATTATTTATAAGCAATTTTACAATAGCTTTATCCTCTCTCTTTACTATTATTTATTTATTTATTTAATTCGCGATGCAATTTTATTGTCTATTTGAATGTTTTCAAAGGAGTCATTCTGCCATTAAATATCTTCCATTTTTTATTTATTATTTGGAAGCGATTTTATAACAATTTCTTAAAATATTATAAATATATTCTACCTCTGTATTTAATTATTATAATATACAGATGAAAAGAAATTATTACACCAGATCAAACATGATTCTTGATTACACAACTCTTAATCTAAAATTTTGCATGTAGAAAAATATTTTGCTACAGCTGTGCCAAAATTTCTGACCATCTCAAAATTTAATTTCGGAAATGGATCATGATCCTAATCGCATTTGATTGTCATTCAGCTCGATCGTTCGCCGACAGTTGGTGACGATTATCTAATTTACGCCCGGGGCGAACGACGAATAATCCACGAAGCGATCGAAAATAATCGGAACCTCTACGAAAGATGGAGGGAGAATCTCCTGTTCTCAATTTCCAAATCAAAACGTTGTTATTTCATCCACAGCTTTTATAATTAAACTGTCGGAGTTTATTCGTGCAGTATTTTATTTTTAATCACGATAGAATTATTTACTCAATATTCAATTCGTGCGTATATATGTGTGTATGCTGTACGAACGCGTTATAAAAGATGAAAAATTCGATAACACATGTTTTTTGTCGATTATCAAAACTTCTCTCGACTGTTCGCAATAGATCGCATTCCGTTCCGTCTGATCGCTCTGCGTCAGGCGATCAGGAAACATATGACTTATGCATCGATCGCGTTGCGGGGAACGAAAACGGATACGATAAAGCAATTCGATCACGCGATTTACACGTTTATTTCGTTCTCGCGCAAATCGGCTGGGCAGCGAACGGCGGGCGTATTAATTGTGCGGATCACCGAACGTGAATTGCGTAAACGCACTCACGTACGGCGACCCAGCGATTGTTTTATATATGTAGCTCTGCAGCCTATAAATATCTAAGACTAATTATTCTAGAGGCTATGATAGAGAGAGTGACTGAGAATGCGAGCCGGCCACGGCGTCGATCATTCCTAAAAAGGAGAAGAAATTGATTCGATTTTCGCGAACGTGATTCTGTTTTTCCAAGTCGCGTGGCTTTCAAGTCATAAAATCGCGACTGTTCGAAAACGCATTTCTTCTGCTCTCCACGACGTGGCCAACTCCAGTGTTTTTCGAGAAATGAAAATGATCGGCACTTATGCAATCGTTACTCTAGCCTTTTAATTAAAATCTGCGTAATAATAACTGCGTTCGAAAGAGTTCGGCTCGACTCGCTTCGCGACTTCGTGCCTCGTCATTCGCGAGACGGCGTAAATCATAATACGCCGAGTACGTTGTCGATACGAAAGCGAGAAACGAGCCGATCCGATCTGATAAGAGAGATTTCTACGATCGGGATCAATAATTACGTGGATACAATATTTACAAATGAAAAATGTAAAGATATACATAGAGTATAAGTATATAAATATATAATATATACTCGGCTCTTACTAGGATATTCAAGTAAACGCATGCACTTTAGGGATTTCATAAAAAAATATATATGTGTATATAATATATATAATACTTTTAAATAAGAGATGCGAAGCAACACTAGAATAAAAGTTACGTACCCTTCGATTCTTTTCTTTTTTTTTTTTTTTTTATACTACTTTTGTAATACCGTAACGGCACGTGAGAAAAGTACAAGGTACATCGAAAATAATTTACGCTCCGAACGGAGTCTCTCTCCGCAGGGAGCGAACTTAAAGTTAATGAAAAAACTTTTGCTGCAGTGGCGCTACTGCCGCGCTATTTCTTAGCCGTCGCAGCTTTTCTGAAAAAAACATTCTTAAAAATCTTAATTCTCTTTCTTTTTCTCTCACAGGAGGCGTATACGGGGGTTGTGCCTTCCGAATAAGTAGTAGTCGTTAAGTCTGGCAGAAGAACTTAACGTATGATGCACATTCGGGACGCAAATAATTCGCGCGTTCTATTTTTACTATAAAGCTGCACGTTTTTTTGTTTTTTTTTCTCTACGATGCACGTTTCTCGATCGCGTTTTCGCGACTTCACGCTATTTACAAGTCGACGTATGTAAATTTGTTTACACGGATGTAGAGCTTTCCGACATTTCCGCGAAAATGGTAAATAGTCACGCTTGAAATATTGACAGCCTGGAATCGCGATCGAGATATCGGAAGTCCCGTGGCCTATCTTCATTTCGATGCACGGCAATTGTAGTTGTAATAAATCATGACGTATTGTTGCGCGAACGAGTGAGAATTCGACATAACGCAATTTCGTCGAATATTTTCATTTGCATCTTGACACTTTTGACTATCGTATTCTCGGAAATTTGGCGCGAAAAGAGTTAGACTTTTACATTATTATTATCGATTAAAAATTACTCCGAGTAATCGCGGAATTATCTTAAACAGCGGAATTTCAACACGTGATCTTGGGAAATTATTTTACACGCGGATTTTACGAACGTCTTTTTATTAGGGATACTTTATTAACACGATGATTACCAACGCGTCGTTTTAACCGCGTTAATTAAAAATTCTATTACGAGACTGACGCTCCTCCTCTCGCGCGCGTAAAACTGAAATACTCCTGACAAATGTTATTAGTCGAGACTACTGACTTGTCAATACAAAATGAGAGTCGCTACGCAGATGTAACGAGGCCAGATTACCTGTTGTACATGAGGATATCCGGTTTCCAAAGCTTGTTCGGCGTAATTCGAAGATCTTTCACTCCGCCGTACTCGGTCTCGTTCCACTGAAGGTTATAGTCTGTCCACTCCTGCGCACACACAAAAATAAAAGAATTAGAAAAATTGGAATAATATTTTGAATCTGTTTTAGACAAAACATTATATTTCATAAGTCGAATATTAGTAGAAATATTCGTATTTAAAAAATCTTTATTCTAATTCTAAGATCAATGTTTAGAAAATAAACTACGACAGCGCGTACATAAAAATAGATGATCGTATAACGATTGTTTTATATAGGTACTGTAAGTGTATCTAGATACAATACATAGACATTTAGCTACAAGAAATATAAAACTTAATAATAATACGCGTAAAATAATATAAAACTAATCTAAGGCACTATTAATTCCGATCTAATTATAAGTACAATTTCCACACTTAATAAACGCGATGAGCGTTTCTCCGACCAATGCCCATTATGCAAAATAAATGCCCGCGTAATTTTCAATTTTCGTTCCTCTATTCAAGTAATATAATTATAAAATCGATATATGCGCGTGCTTAACGTTCGCTTTGACATTTATATTATTGCCGCGTTCAAACTACAGCGCGCACATAAATAGTAAAACTACATCTTATATAGCGAATAAAAATAAATTATGATAAAATTTTATATAGTGTGATACAAAAAGCCATTCTCTTTGCGGTCAAAAACTTGTTTAACTTAATCAATGTAATGTGCAATATCCGATAAATTAAATAAGTATATGTGTTATTTTTCGTTATATGTTATTTTTGTTTGTTTTTTTATATAAAATATATTATCATCTATATTATAATATTTTACTATTTGTTTTTGTATTTAATGTGTATTTCGTACAAAATTTCGATAGATTTCCACGCGATGACATTACTACGTAGTTCCAAATTACGTATCGTACATTCTCAGATATCCACGGTAATACGAGCTGAAGGATTCCCGAAACCTTCCTTTAGCCGCGAATAAATTTGCACGAGTTAATTAATCCTTGCTATATGAAAGATTAATTATCCGCATAAATTCTATTCGCCGACAAAATGTTTGACTGACTAACATAAGTTGAGTGAAAGCAGAATTTCGTGGAACGGTCAAGGAAAATCGACTATGAACTTTATCATCGTATAGTCGGAATAAACAAACGGAATACTTCTAACTGTCGTCGATCTCATGTGTGTGTGTGTGTGTGTGTGTGTGTGTGTGTGTGTGTGTGTGTGTGTGTGTGTGTGTGTGTGTGTGTGTGTGTGTGTGTGTGTGTGTGTGTGTGTGTGTGTGTGTGTGTGTGTGTGTGTGTGTGTGTGTGTGTGTGTGTGTGTGTGTGTGTGTGTGTGTGTGTGTGTGTGTGTGTGTGTGTGTGTGTGTGTGTGTGTGTGTGTGTGTGTGTGTGTGTGTGTGTGTGTGTGTGTGTGTGTGTGTGTGTGTGTGTGTGTGTGTGTGTGTGTGTGTGTGTGTGTGTGTGTGTGTGTGTGTGTGTGTGTGTGTGTGTGTGTGTGTGTGTGTGTGTGTGTGTGTGTGTGTGTGTGTGTGTGTGTGTGTGTGTGTGTGTGTGTGTGTGTGTGTGTGTGTGTGTGTGTGTGTGTGTGTGTGTGTGTGTGTGTGTGTGTGTGTGTGTGTGTGTGTGTGTGTGTGTGTGTGTGTGTGTGTGTGTGTGTGTGTGTGTGTGTGTGTGTGTGTGTGTGTGTGTGTGTGTGTGTGTGTGTGTGTGTGTGTGTGTGTGTGTGTGTGTGTGTGTGTGTGTGTGTGTGTGTGTGTGTGTGTGTGTGTGTGTGTGTGTGTGTGTGACGACAGTCTTATCATCCCGGTGGTCTCGGCAAGAATCGATAGAGAAATTAAGAGTCATGTTTAACTTCGACGATCAAGTGTCTCTCGAAGAAGCGTTTTACAACTACGGTATTCGATAATTGACACGAATCTTACGAAAATTGTAATTGCAAAGATTAAGTTGTGTGCTCTCGTAAATGAGGTACGTAAATCGCTCCATACGGCGAAATGATAAGCGGACAAAGATAACAATACCAACATTACTGCACTCTCTTCAAACGTATTATATAGAGAACCGAGTAAATTAAAATTAAAATTATCGCTGCTCGTATGCAAGAATGTAACTCTATATTTCATTTGTATCTTGTGCGTCACATGATATAACTGTAAGCGTTTTTAATCCAACGCCGTTGCTATTGTAAAGCGCGCGATTTATGCGAAAAATTATTATCGGAGAAATGTATTGTACGGTCAAAACGCGGAGAGAGATAAATCTGGAAATATCTCGCAAACTCGATAAATCATATTCTCGAGGCATAGCGAGTCACGTTTGCACGAGAAGAAGGGTACGGGACTCTCCTTCTGAAAACCGTCGACCCTTCAGTCCCGCTCGGATATTTTCAACGGAGTCACGTACCTGTCGCTAAATATTCATCGCTCCGGCAGGCGAGATGGAACGGTCGGCCGCGAATCAGAAAACTGCAACTTACGCTCGGGTGCGAAGTTCGCGAATTCGCGGGGATAAGGCCGCGCGCGGTATGCGCGACCTGGTTTTTGCGAATAGGAAGCGCGCCGCCACGGCGGCACGTTTTATAATGTATACTTCAATTTCCGGTACGCGCGCGCGCGCAGTAAGTCCGCGGCGTTTGCTCATTAGATTACGCGGCTGAATTGCACAAACGAGAAATTCAGCGCGCCCGGTGCGATGAAAGTATCCGTCGTCTCTCGCCGGGCTCGACATCGTCTCATTCCCCTTCTTCTCGCCGGTGAAGCCGCGGTGAGGTTTTCGAGAGTTCCGTTTCACCCAAGATAGCCGTCGTTTTTTTTTTGTTTTTTTTTTTTTTAAAGCGCGTATCCCACAACTCACGGAAGCGCAACGTAATGAAGGCTACACTCAACGAAAAGAACATTTCCCAAAAAAATAAAATCTCTTCTCGCGTTCTACGACCGTCTATTTTATTATGCTCGTCGCGTTGAATTACGCCAATATCGTTGAAAATGTCCGCTGATTTCTGTCCCCCCGCGCCATAACTTTCTGAAAAAGTCATTCGAGTACCGCGAATTTTGACTATGTATTTTAATATTGTTTATAGTCTAAAAAAAGTATTGTAAGATAAAGTAAAAAATATTTTATTCAATATTTTAATATTTATAACGGAATCTATACATAATGTTACTGTCAAACGTAGCAACCATTTTTAATAATAAACTATAAAGAATAAAAAAAGCGACCTGATATTATTGAATCAATAAATATCTGAGCGAGCGAAAAATGAGAAATAAAGCGAGAGAAAAAGATTCTTTATATTCTTAAATCCTATTCAAAAATTATTTCATAAGATTACGTAAACTATTACGTAAACTATTACGAACATTCGTATATGCCGATGTAGAATCATAGTCTGATAAATTTAATGATAAAATATACAGAAGCAAAAAAAAATATATTTCCCTTGAATTTATAAAATAAAAATCTTTTGATATTGCGACGATTATATAAAAAAATAAAGTTGCAAATTAAGTATGAAATGTACTTAACACAGAGATGTGTAAAAAAATTAATTCTAGTTGTTAAGTACACACACGTTTATCAATGGAATAGCTAGTATTTAACGTTATTAATAGCGCATAATAGCTAGTAATAGGGAATAATACCGATTATACGATCAATCAAAATGTAATCTACAAAATATAATTTTGTAATTAATTTTGCGATGTAAATGTCAACTCTGGCGCGATATTGACTTATAGCAAATTAATTTCAAATATCTCCTTTTTTGTTAATATATTATTACGAGCAATATGTCGACTTTTTAAACGATATAGCGCGACCCCACACGATTTTCTTACATTTACTTATTTAATACCGTGCTAAGGAACAAACTCTTGCCATAATAGCATTATGTAGAACGTGATAACATAATTTCCAAGTTGGTCGGAAAATCTCTAGAGGAAAAATGCGCGTCGCATTGTTTCACGAAGCTAGTTTTACAACGAATACTCGGTACGTTATTACTTAACTTCGCGTTCTTGTACTCTTTATGTACTGTGTATCATAATACTTAACGAGCCATAACTCTCGCGTTTTCTGCCATCCGGGGCGTTAAGCTACTACCTTAATGCTATAATCGAACCCTTTCCACGTCAAAGCGAACGATGAGAGCGATGCAGAAGAAAAAAATGGGGTCATCGGCCACGATTGTGTTACTAACATAGGCTGTTAATAAAAATCGTATAAGTTGTTTGTATCCGGAAAAAATTTATATATCTAAAAATATATTTATTAAGTATTTCGCTTTTGCACGCATGTAAAGAATCAAGCTTGTATAAGAAGAGAAAAATATAGTTTGATTAATTAGATAATTTTTACTTTTCTCAAGCAAGTCTGTATTTCTTGTCTCGACGAAGCCTGAAATGCCAGTGAAATGATTCGCGAGGGAACGCCCGAAACTCTAACGATTAAAAAGAAAAATACGATAAAGCTACTTTGCCTTGACAAAACTTTGGAGCCTTATCGAAGGTAAACTGCTATTAAAGTCTGGATTAAGTAAATATTTCAATGTAATAAATGCCGATACAAGGTCCGTATCGACTACGATGCGACGAGTAAGACATTTTTATACCGTATAGCTATAAATTAGAATCCATAATAATAGCGCGAGCATTAGGGTCCAATGTCAAGAAATAAAAAAGTCTATCTGTGTACATGAATAAACTTTAGATAAAATATTGAATCGTTCAAAGATGTAAACTAATATTTGTATAAAATAAATATAAATATAAGGTGATTATAACAGAAGAAAGACAATTTTGTTAGCAAATTTATATAAGCTTGGCGGTGATTGAAAACGAAGTACGCACCGGCCTGTTGACAGATTTCCTAGCAAATGGAGAACTTTTAGAAAGCCAATATATTTTTCTCTTACAAGGGAAACTTTTATCGAATCAAACTTTTAGTTATTTATTGAGCGGCAACGATGTTACGGTGTACTGCAAAAATTTCTTATCTCTTTGTTATATGTATATACAAGTACTATCTGTCATAATAGACAAATGGCATGTGGTTCA